CCTGGTGTGTTTGGTTGAGCACATCGCAGGGAAGAGAGCAACACGTGTCAGCAAGGCATAGTGCATCCTATTTATTTGTATACGCATATACATACTCAAATAAACATATAAACAAAGAGCGAGATGGGGAAGCTGCAGGTGTGTATTTGTGCAGCCCGTAACTTGCATGACAGCCAAGTCTTTGGCTTGCCGGACCCCTACTGCCGAGTACGTATGGGTGACCATGAATACAAGACGAAGGTCATCAATAACTCGCTGAATCCCGTGTGGAACGAGACATTTCGATTTCAGGTTGCCGATGAGTCGACAGCACAGTTGTGCGTTGAATTGTGGAATAAAAACATCATTTCCGACGATCTCATGGGGACATATAGTCTGTCGCTGGGTCACATGACACGAGGCGTGGTGAACGACGAGTGGTACCTGCTGGGACACTCCAAAACAAATTCGGAGCTGCACTTACGTGTCCTCGCGTGTGACTTTGGTATTAACCCATCGCCCAGTGATGTGTGGAAGGTCACCACGGACATTAACAATGACCCGGCACTCGGTGCGGGGAAGAAACCCCCGTTGGCCGCCGCCCCTGTGACTATTTCGAGTAACGTGAACAATACGCCGATTAATCCGAACATTGGCCCTGCTGTTGTTCCAGCCGCAGTTTTAATGCAACCGCAGTCATTTCCACAAGCAGCTGGCCCTTTTCCACACCAGCCTATGTATTTTTCACCGCCACCGGCCCCAGTTGGGTATTACCCGCAACAACCAATGTACTACCCACCACAGCCGCCAGTGATGCAGCAGGAGCAACTGCACTCACAGTTTAAAGCCCCTTACACTGGCGTGGTGCCTTTACAGATGGTTTCCATGATGAACCCAAAAGATCACAACTTTCATTATTGAGGAAAAATAATGAAAGAAGGAGAGTTAACATGAAGCAAATGATGAAAAAAAAAAAAAAAAGATACATGTTGGTGTGTTTGTATATATCCGTGGTTTTTATATATACACACATATTGACTTACCATGCATCGGTCTACAGTGAAGATGGAGTGAATCGGATATGTGTGTTTGGAAGGTTATTTTTACTTTGCGTTGTTTATTTTTATTTTTCTTTTTTTTCCCTTATTTATTTATTTATTTTATCCATCTTACGTACTCTCTTGCATGGTATGAGCCGTATGCGCTCATCGCTGAGTTTTTTGTACATGTATATTTGGAAGTGCATCTATCAGACCTGCACGTATTCTTTTTATGTGCATTCGAGTGTGTGTGTGTGTTTTGCATTGGGGGGCGTAAGTAAATGTATGAAGGCAGAGTGAATTGTGGACGCTGTAGTTGAAGGCCGCATTGTTTTTGCATGTGGAAAGGGGTGCCTTAGCACACACACACACACACAGAGAGGGAAAGAAGGGTAGAGGATGGGGTCAAATGTGAGGATGATATCCATGCAATTTATTTCCTGCTGTTTTTATTCAATTTTTGTTGCCTCAGAAGGGCATTTTGTGCGGATTGCCCTTTGCAGCGGTGTTCCCTCTTTTTGAAGGCACCTTGACGGGAGGGGGGAGAGGGAGAGAGAAAGAAACAAATAAATAGTAATATAAAAAAAAAAGACCACAGGAAGTAATTAGAAGAACAACATCAAAAAAGGGGGCGTTCATGAGTGACTCGGAGTCCATCGTATTCCGTGAGCAAACGGCAAACAACTCCCTGCAGAGTGAAAATATGCAGGACGCTTTAATCCAATCCTCCCAAATGCCGTCGGCGTCTCCGGCGCTGGACAAACCGCCGCTTCACCACACCAACCAACGGGGCTCCCGTACGATCACTCAGCCGCGTCCAGAGGCAAAACACACAAAGAAGTCTTTTTCCGCTGGCGAACGGTCGCACGACGATGCGGTCTCCGAACACAGCCAGAGCATCCACTTCTCCTTTGATGGTGCTGAGCATAACGCCTCCATCGCGAGTAGGACCTCTGTGAGGCGGGCGAACGGTCTCCAGCCGCCCCCCAAACGTGGCGGAGGTCATCTAGAATTGCGATCAACTCATCTACGCCGCTCGGGAAGTCAGAGGACGGATTCAGAGGATGAATCCATTCAGTTTGCTTTGGAGACCTCCAATAGCCACGCACGGCCAAAGACCACGGTGCATTCCGAGGCGTCGCCAAACGACAGTATCTTCTTTCACGTCGTGGATGACACGCGGACGGATGGCGCCAATTCCAGGGCCAGCGGCAATCCGCAGCATGACGCCAGCACGGATGGCATTGAATTTACCGTTTTGAATGAGACGGAAGGAGCGGCGGAGGGTTCTTTGGGAAAATCGGTGCAGACACGCACCGACGCGGAAAAAGGGCGAGGATTCGAATTGCCAGTTGAGAAGAAGCGTTTGAAGAAGACAGTTTTATCAAACAGGCTTAGGCACCCACCCACAGTTTTATTGCGTAGCGGGAGAGTCTCAAACCCACCGGCCACGAAGCGCTCTAATGGGAAAAAGTTGACGGAAAACATTCCTCCAGCTACATTGTCGCCTGCAGAAACTGGGCCTTTGGATGCCCCTGCGATACCGACACCAAAACCACTGGAGGCCACTGAGGCGCAGCTTGAATCAAATCGTATGCCCCCAACTGCCGTTTCTATGTCTTTCAAAGATGACCAATGCACATCAAAGGCTACACCGAATGAATTGGGCAATATTTTATTTCCAACGCGACGTTCGCCAAGCACCGGCTTCACGGATCCGATTGGTATAAAACATGCGTCAACTGCTGCGGCCAAAAAGTCGACGGAGGGTTCGCCGCCTCGCATTTCCATTGAAGTACCGTCGCCGTACCCCCGACCGCAATCGGAGGTCATGCAGCCTTCTAATTCAGATACGCTGGACGAGTGGATTTTTCAGGCTAAACTCTGCACGGAACATTGGCGTCTCTTCAATGACTTTCAGAGGGAAGAGATTTTGCGTTTGATTGAGCGCATTGCGAAGGCACGTCAACCGGACTCATTTCTTCAGTTCATTGACACGGGCGTAAAGGAGAGAAAGCCGACACAAGCTGCACCGGGTGGATTTGCAAATCTTTACAAGCAAAGAGTTTTTGCCGCACAGAACGCTGCCTTTTGCCGAGGCAAATCTAACACCGTGCCCTCGACAATAAAATTGGCTTTTAAAGTCCCAACACGGGCACGTTCAGCGACGTCACACGGCATTTCGACGTGCAGATCACCGCTCTCTGGACGGACGCAGGACCATCGTCCTCCCGTTGCCAGGCCACCAAAGACGGCTGAGGCAGGACAGCTCACCGCAGCCCCGCAGAGGCCCCCGCACGCACCGTCGCGGAGGTCGGCAGGCGGCAGATGCCTTTCTCTTTCTCAAGACGCGTCTTCGTCTGATGGCGTTGCGAAACTCGCCCAGACGCTTGGTGTGGTGTGGCCTCCTTGGTCACCGGATGCACTTTTTTTTGTGTCCGGCGCCCGCCTGACTCCGCAGCAGAGGGATGAGTTCTACAAGGCGGCTGAGCTTCAGAAGGCAGCCTTTGCGAAGCTCCACGCGGAGTTACAACACTCTTCTGCGGCACAAAAGAGGGAGACAAAAGGTGCCCGCCAGAAAAAAGTGACGCTGTCGCGTACTTCCATCCTCCGCAAGGCCTTTGATTTGATGGATGTGGACACACGCGGCATCATTCACACCGCAGATCTTCCGGCGTTGCAGCATTTACTTGAGGCGGAGCGGCAGGAACTTGAGACAAAGGCGGCTAATGGAGTTGCGGCTTCTAGTTTTCTTACAATGGCGAGGGGTGAGCAGCGCATTCTTAAAGGTACGATTGATTCCAAACGACCTGCTACAAAACCCGAAGATGATGCCACATCTATCGCTAAGAAGATTATGCTGCACGGTTTTGTTTTAGAGGTTATTTTTCCGCTTATTCGTGCCTCTAATTTAGTTGTGGTTGACTTTGCCTCCCTTGGCCTTTTGGTGTTTGGATCCTTGTGTCTTTCTCAAAAGGGCGCGAGTGCGAGTTTTGTGAAATGGTTCCAGGCCGCATTACACTACTTTGAGGCTCTTGCATAGACCGGTTCCTTTTTCTTGTGGGTTTTTTTTACCTGCATGGCCTTTTTTTCAGTCATTGTGTGGATTCCATTTGGACGGAGTTGCCCCCCTCCCCTTTTTTTTTTTTCCTTCCTTTTTCTTTGTATTTTCGTCTGCATGTTGCGGTGTGACTTTATCTGTAGTACTTGCTTTCTCTCTCTCTTTTTTTTTTTTTTCTGTGCGCCGCACTCTTCATAAACACGTTTTGGCCTGTTCTGCAAGGATGAGTAACGGCGACGTTTAATCACAGACGGAGGAAGCAGGGAGCCCCAATTCAAGCGTAGAGTTACGTGTTTATAGAGACGGATATAGAAAACAAAAACAAAAAAAACAAAAACAAAATAAAAGCGACTGGACAATTGGGGGTGCGTGGGCGAGTTGACACGTCGATGCGCACACCATATTCTTCTGCAACAAGTCTGGCGGATAGGGCCGTCTCACCGTCGCAGTGTTTATACCCTCGCACGACTGCCAGGCAAATCCACCCACTGGTACTTTCTCCAATGACACCGGTGGACCAAAAAACGATGTCACCACATTGCCCCGAGTCGCCTCAATCCCTGCAGAGCGGAAGTCCCGAGTCAGAGGGAATTGGCAGGACGGAGCCGCAGTCATTGCTGCCGACGTTTTTGGCTGCGGATTTTGATGTCGTCGATGTTTCCGCACGATTGGAGAATGAGTTTTTTAGTGCTGCTCAGTCCGCCGAGTTGAATGGTAGCAGAAGCCGTCATCTACAGGAGACGATAAATCGCCATGAGAACTGCTCGTCAGCAGAAAAATTATTTCATCGTAACGGTAGCTGCTGCCGTGTGGATGTCACTGAGGAGATGACGCAAGTGTTCCAGGAACCGATGACGCCGCTGCGCGAGGCATCTTCACTTATTGAGGAGAACCGCGAGGGCCAAGATGACGCCGAGGCCGATCGTGCTTCCAATTCCCCTTCCTCCGTGCATACTCCGCCTGAGAACATCATTCGTTCTTCGTTGATGCTGACGCCGCCGTGGACGCCCGTTCTTGCAACTCCACGGAAATCTGCCAAACGACCCTCACCGCAAACCTTCACGCCGTCAGCGCACCGGCGCGGTGTGTCGTCACATAATTTAAGTATGGAATCGCGGGAAGTCTGTGGTGTGCTGCCGCACATAACTCATGCAGATTACCTCCCACCCAATAGAAACCCGTGTTCACCGTATCTGGAGTATGCGGATGAGAGACAGCTCCTGGTGCAGCTTCGCATGGAGGAAGAGGAGGAAGAAGAGGAGATGGATGGTGGTTTGATTTCTATAACAGATGGGATGCTGCAACGTGCGGATGCATTTGCCATTCTGCTTGAACAAACTGTTCCTATCGCCAGTGCGGTGCGAACAGAAAGGTGTTGGTCTCCGTTGTTGCATAAATCAGGAAAAGGTGGTGGGGGCGCGAATACATTTCCCAATGAGGTGCGCGAAGAAAATGATATCACAGGCCTTTCTCCTGTTTTAGTGGAAATGGACTCGGCTATGCGAAGAAATGCGTCTACGGCAGTGGAGACAGGCGACGTTAGTTCAGGGAATCATTTTTTGGACTTTTGTGGATTTTCTGACGACGGGACGAGTTTAGGGACTATGCAGAATGAGACGCCGCATCGTTTGTCTCGTGAAGCCGAGGATGTGGCATGTGATGCGTCCACACGCAACCTTACAGATGGCCAGACATCTTTTGAAACGCTTCCAAATAAACTGCTATGTACACGTGTTTTTTATGACCGGCGCGGCCAGGTGGGGGAGCAGACATCTCCTCCTTCAAACTCCCCATGTATATTGCACAATGCGGCACAATGGGACCGTACTGTTGGTATGCATGTCTCAAGGAATAGGATCCATGAAACGGGTCTTTCTTTTCAACCGTCGCTCTTGTCCTCCTCTTTATCGATCCGCGGAGATTCTCAGACCTGCTTTTCTGCAGACAATTCAGGAGACCTTCCGAGTCAATTGCAATTGCGCAATTGTTTGTCCGTGCATTTCCCAGTTAAATTTGATTTCCCCACTGCGGGATACCCAGTGAGTGATGCGGAGGACGAGATACCGAGAGGACATGTCAATTCCAAAGAGGAAGA